AAGGTCAAGAAGCCCGACCTTCCACATGTGTCAGCTGGGCTACCTGGGGATGGCATCACGATGATGGTAAGGAGGTAAAGATCGATAAGGCCGGGAGACCAGATCCTGTCGGGAAAGATGGATAGACGACGAGACCTCCAGAATACACTCCCGTTGAATGGGCAATGATGAGGAAGTACTACTCAGAGGAAGAAGAAGAAAGAAGATCCCAAGAGTAAAGAATCTGAGATTTCTGCGCCGGCAGAGGCGCAGGCATTACAGATGCCCGGTGGTAAGAGAATTCAAGCGATGCTTCGAAACCGCTGGGGTGGAGTTGAATGGCAGTACAATTGGGGATTGCGGAAGAACATATCAAAGATCAAGAACCCAATGGATGGGAAACACTTGGCTGAGCTTGAGTGGGTCAGGATTGTTGTAAATCCTGTTGACGGAGTGGTTGTTCTCATGGATTCTAAGCAATCCCAGGACGTCTTGAGACGAAACGTTCAGCCTCCTTCCCTGGCCCTGCAACTTGCCCAGGTAGGCATAGGAAGGGTCAGTAAAACAGGCTCCTTCCGACAAGCGCTGCCATTGCACTCCGAATTCTCCAGAACCATCACACTGGCGCCTTGCAGGCTCCCGACCTGCGACGGAGCAGGAATGCGCTCTTCCGCAGACTGGTGTTGTCCCAAGCCAGAACACCCGCTGCAAGCAGTCGCCAGGCCCTGGCTGCATTGGATGCATGAGCGCAAATTGGTGCCACGAATCCTGGCACACATCAAAAGCAGTTCTCCGGACTGCCCTCTCGCCGTCCGAAAGCCTGGAAGTGGCAAATCTAGCGTACACGGCTCTAAAATTGCCCTGCCCTTCGGACATGAGCCCCGAGGCAGGACAGCCATACAGACTCCGCCTGCTGCAGGCCCTGGCCAACTCTTGGGGTGACCCAGACATGGCCCTCTTGCCATTTCTGCAACACGGGGTACCGAGAGGAGCCGTGTCAGCCTTGCCACCCTTCAATGGCCGGCAAAGAAGCCAGACTCCGCGCTTCCGCCGGATCTGGAAATTTGTGAGGGCAACTGGAAGATGGTCGAGGACGAGCCAGAAACCGTGCAAGGCTTGCTGCGCAATGAAATTGCCAACAACTGGATTGTAGAAACCGGCCTTAGCATCGCCGAAGCTCGGGAAAAATGGCCCTTAGGCATTGCCGTAGGCAAGTTAAATGTCGGTTTTGCAGAAGGTAAAGAGCCGCGCCTTGTCTTGGACAGCACCGTGTGCCAGGTGAATACCAGATGCCATCTACCAGAGCGCCTGAGCTTGCCAATGGCATCGGACCTGGCGCTGTCCACGCAGCCAGAGGACACTCCAGGCGCCTTCGTGGGCGCCAGCATTGACTTCAAAGCCGCACACAAACAGGTGCAGGTCCGCCCTGAAGAGCATGGCCTTCTACTCTTCGCATTTCAAGGAAAGCTCTATCATTACAGAGTGTGCCATTTTGGGGGCCGTTTCTCGGCATTCTGGTGGCAGCGCACTGGCGCATTCTTGCCTCGCCAGGTGCATGGGTTGCTGGCCTGGAAGCCCCACAAAGCCTTCCTTTTGTTGGACGACCTTCTGTGTGCACTCTTCCGGGATAGCGCACCAGATATGTTTGCCTTGGTGGTGCTTTTCTTTTGCGCCATTGCAGCGCCCATTTCATGGAAAAAGGCGCAATTCCAGGACAGATTTGTTTGGTGCGGTTGGGAGATCAACTTCTCCCACGACACCATTCAGCTCGTGTCCGCTAAGCTGACCAAGCTGGACGCCTTGATCAAAGCACTGTGGGGAACCGACGGGTACCCCGCAAAACACTCGAGCAGTGCGTAGGCCTGCTCATTTGGGCCACCAGCATTGCCCTACATCTGAGATCCTGGCTAGCGCCACTATACTCGGACCTCAACAGCCCACCAGGCTCGATGCACTCGATACCGCCTCAAATGTGGTCAGCCTTTAGAGCATCCTTGAACAAGGATCTCAAAACTAGCCATAGCCTTCCGGGCTTGTGGATCACAGTGGGCTCCAAAATCTTGGAAATTTCGGGTCGCACCATGCACTGCCCTCAGGACATCCCGCAAGTGCCTGGCACTAGCAAGCCCACATGGGTGCGCATCGCGGACCCCAATAACCCACACACTAGCCTTTCCAAGTCAAGCCAACAATGCCTTACTTGGCTGGCGTTGTGCTTTCAGCACTCGCCTGTTCAGCCCTTGGCGCGGCCACACCAGCTGCAAGCTCTGGCTGCCGCGGATGCGTGTGCCGAAGACGACTTGGTAGGGATCGGGGGCTGGGCAATCACATCCTCCCAAGTGGTTTGGTTTGCCGAGACCTGGAACATGCAGGACATACGAGCCGTGTGGCCTTGCCTTGTCAAGCCTGGACAGCGGTACATCGCAGCACTACTGCAAGCAACCCACAGCCACATTGGTGGTGGGCGCTACTCGTTCAGCATGCCTTCAGGCACGGACAATTCCGCAACGGAAGCAAGCCTTAACAAGTTGTTCACGACCTCCTGGCCGTTGCAACTCTTCGTGCAATTAACAGCCTTCTGGGCTCACGCTCACAATGTGCTGCTGCAGCCGACGCACGTTCCAGGAAGGTGCAATGATTGGGCAGACGATCTCAGCAGAGGTCGGTTGGCCCGATTCCGCCATCGCCCTGAAAGTCGCATACGCTTCAGCCCTACGGGCCTAGCAATGTCAGGCCGAGGCATTCAGCTGTGTCCGATGCATGCGCCCTGGCGCCCGGAGCATTTGGCAGCTGCCTCCGTCACTGCTTAGCCAGCCTTAAATGCATCCCGACATGCCTTGCGACCAAATGGCCGTCGTCGCCCTGTCAGCCAGAACAACTGGCGGCGTCAGCCAGCCGCTTATATCAAGCCGCTCTGACCGGAAAAAGTGCAGACCCTGAGTAACAGGCTGCTCACAGCCCAGCGTGCATGGCCACGCAAACATTTGCCCTGCCAGGTACAACCCCGCTCTGAAGGGCGGGTGATGAGGCCTGCGGCCCAGCGGGCTCGCTTATACCGGGGTTGCCTGAAACACTGAAGGGGGGGTCAACGCGCCTCCTGTTCCAGGCGCACCAGTGCCCTGGAAGCAGTGCTACTTTCAGCAATCCCGGTAAAAAGAACTGCGGCCGCTTCGGACTTGCTTTGTTCTTTTGGGGGTTCATGTTTGGGTTCAAGCTAGGAGCAGTGCAACATGCCTTAACGCTTAGGGTTTCTTTTCCCTTGTGTTTAGGGCATGTTGTGAATCGAACTACGCGTTGGCCGTTTTGCTCCTAGCCTTGACCCAAACCTGCGGTTTCATTTGAAACCCACCCACCCACCCTGCACTGCCTTATACAAGGCTCTGCAAGTATAGGTAGCAGACGCTCTGCACTTTCATTGGTGGTTTCCGGGCCTCTTGGTCTCCGGACCAGGTCTCCGGACCAACTCTGGTCTCCGGACCTCGGGTCTCCGGACCTTTCGGTCTCCGGACCTTGGGGCGTGGGCACGCATGCCGCGCCCCGCAAGCACTGCATTTGTATGCAAGGACACGCATTGTCTTGCCTTTTCAAATTTCAGGGGGGTCAACGCGCCTCCTGTTCCAGGCGCACCAGTGCCCTGGAAGCAGTGCTACTTTCAGCAATCCCGGTAAAAAGAACTGCGGCCGCTTCGGACTTGCTTTGTTCTTTTGGGGGTTCATGTTTGGGTTCAAGCTAGGAGCAGTGCAACATGCCTTAACTACTCTGACAGGGGATGCTTGGCCTACAAGGCTCTCGCCACTTACGCGGCTATTGATGGGGGCTTTTTTCCGAAGTGTTTTGGCACGCTCCGGCCGTTGAAGACGGGCTCCTCGCGAGGGGGGCGTGGTTAGCCATGTGTTGCAAGTGTCATCCGGGATGTTGTGTTAGCGACTTACCGGTGACAGTTGGCTGAAGTCTTTGAGCCTCGGATGAGCGTCGCCGGGTCCTCGCGTCGATCATCTTTGCGTCGGTGGAGACAGAAACATCTGGTGGGGTTCGCCCGTGCGGTTCATCGTCGGCTCAGACCATATTCCTTTGTTAGTTGGTTTGTTACCTTTTTTGTTGTTGGTTTGCTGGCACGTTGGGGGTTGGTTGCTTGTTTTGTGGCTTGTAAACCCTCAAATCGATTTGCCTGAATCACAGTTTGTTACTGTGTTGGTGTTGGTTTAGTTTCAAGATGTCTGTCTGTCTGTTTGTCTGTCTGTCTCTCTGTCTCTCTGTCTCTCTGTCTCTCTGTCTCTCTGTCTGTCTGTCTCTCTGTCTCTCTGTCTCTCTGTCTCTCTGTCTCTCTGTCTCTCTGTCTGTCTGTCTCTCTGTCTCTCTGTCTCTCTGTCTCTCTGTCTCTCTGTCTCTCTGTCTCTCTGTCTCTCTGTCTCTCTGTCTCTCTCTCTGTCTCTGTCTCTACTCTCTCTCTCCTGTCTCTCTTTCTCTGTCGTCTCTCTTTCTTCTGTCTCTCTGTCTCTCTGTTTGTTTTTCCCTGTTTCTCTGTCTCTCTGTCTCTCTGTTTGTTTTTCCCTGTTTCTCTGTCTCTCTGTCTCTCTGTTCTTCTGTCTCTCTGTCTCTCTGTTTGTTTTTCCCTGTTTCTCTGTCTCTCTGTCTCTCTGTTCTTCTGTCTCTCTGTCTCTCTGTTTGTTTTTCCCTGTTTCTCCGTCTCTCTGTCTCTCTGTTCTTCTGTCTCTCTGTCTCTCTGTTTGTCCTTCTCTTCGTGTGTTGTCTTCTGCTCTGTGTGTATGAGAGAGATTGTATAAGCAAGAGCAGACAGAGCTTGAACACATTCATTCAATTCGATTTTGCTCGCGAGCTTTTCATCAAGCTGCATCGGGGCACGCCTGGGCATTTGCGAGTGTTCGCATCTCCAGCTGCATGCAGCATCTCATGCAGGTACCTGAGCCATTTTGCGAAGAGTAGTGGTTTGGGCCACGCTTTTGATTCTTTTTGTTGCTTTCGTCACTCAAAGACATCCCACAGCCTCAAACGCACTTGCGTTGTGGATTTGCCATTTCTGACGCATGGCGTTTGGATAAAGCACATCGTATGTGCCAAGGACCAGGTGGGGCACGTTGCATTTCTACCTAGCTTTTTTCTCTGGACCATGGGCAGGTGGTCCTGATCCCAGACCTGCAGAACTCAAGGCGGGTCCTGGTTGAATTTCCCTCATTGGTGCTGGTTCTTGTCAGGCGTTGCGTGACCTGTTTTGACAAAAGTTGCAAGTGCCAGTGTTCATTGCATTGGAAATTGGGCCGTGCACGACGGCAGTGATTCTTTGCTGTTCGGCCTTGTGATAAAGACAGATTTTCTGGCAGCTCCAGTGTCCACTTGACGTCAGGTGATGCCAACACGGAGTTCTCCGTCGCCGCGGAAGAAGTATGGGTCTGAGTAGTGCGAACGAATAGCCACGGTTTTGAGACACTCCTCAACAGACTCCAAACTGTTTGATCTTTTGTCGACATTGGCAAGCTGCAACTTGGCATGGTTGTTACAATTGGTGTTGCCTGATTGTGCCCATTGTCAGTTAGGTCAGTTGTGTGAGTATGATTATGGTGTGTTTGACAAAACTCAAAAAAATGTCTATATGAGCATGCAGAGAATGCTTAATGCCTGACAGGAAGCGATCTTCTTCGCGCGAGGTCAAGGCTGCAATCACTGAGACATGTTTGCACTGATGGGCTGTGTTTGCCAGGCCAAAAGGAAAAATGCATCCAGGTCAAGATCGCGTGATGACCGTAAGAGGCAGATGCACTTCTGATGGATACCAATGTTTGCTTGTGACACATTTGCCGGAATCGCTGTGTGATCTCGAGCGGTAGCAGACGCATCGTTCGTGCTTGCATCATCCTTCACAGCCATGGGGAAGCCTCGTGGAATCCGAACTGCCCGTAAGATGAGGGTGCACAGGAAGGAAGCTCTTTGGGCGGACAAGGACGGCATTGGCGAGGGGCACTGACATGGGATGTAGCGATCTTTGCTCTAGGCAGCCTCACGGCTGGCCAAGTGAATCAACGGAGTCAATGCTGTTGGTCAGCTTGCGGCGAACAGGACTACAAGAAGGCCAACCTGGGCACAAAGTACAAGTGCAATCCTTTCGGAGGCCAGTGATATGCTTGATGTGTCCGACGGTTTATCGACTGGGAACATCAATTGCAGGGTGCATCCAGCTGAATTGCTTGGGATCTCCACTCAAGTAGGACCTCTTATCAATCAGCAGTTAGGGATCTCAGCTGCGTGAGGGACGTCTGAACACATCAGATGAGCCATGTGGGGCTTAGCCACGGTTTTATAGTGTTTCCGCAACTGGACTCTGGCAGATACTCGAGGACCGTTGTTCTTGAACCGCTCAGCCTGTGGCAGGCACTTCTCACGCCAAGGGCATCGTGGTGGAGAAGATCGGCATTGAGGCCAAGCAGCCACTTGGCCAAAGGTTTGCGACACCTGGGCTGGAGAGAGAGAGAGAGAGAGAGAGCGAGATATATTTTGGTTTTGCGGCGCATGCCTTTGCGCGTGCGCCCGACACCCTTATTGGCCAGTTTAGGATGTGGCTTTGCCATTTGGCTTCAGGGGGTCACAATAAGAGCTATATAAGCCTGTACAACCATCTTAGTTGAAACAAATGTCAATGGGTGTGGGGCGCTGCTCACATTTTTTTTTTTTTTTTCCCGGAAGCATTGCGAAGGGTTCTTCTTCTAAAAGCGGCTGCCAACTTCACCTGCCAACTTCTCATGCCAACTTGTCGAGAGTTACTTCACCTGCCAACTTCTCATGCCAACTTGTCGAGAGTTACTTCACCTGCCAACTTCTCATGCCAACTTGTCGAGAGTTACTTCACCTGCCTACTTCTCATGTCAACTTTTTGAGAGTTACTTCACCTGCCAACTTCTCATGTCAACTTTTCGGCTGTTATCTCATTCTACTAAAAGCACAAGCTAATTTGCCGGGTGTTACTTCACTATCCTAAAAACACAAGCTAACTTTTCTGTTCTACCTTCACTTCTCGACTCTTAATTCTTCTTCTTTTTCTGGCGGGGGTAGGCCCGACAGGAGCTTACGAAACGCACCACGGAGCGGAGATCGTGCGTGTCGAAGCGCTCTCGCTGTGGCGCCGTGCGAATTTGTCTTGAGCCCGATGAACCCTCTGCGGGATCGTGCGTGTCGAAGCGCTCTCGCTGTGGCGCCGTGCGAATTTGTCTTGAGCCCGATGAACCCTCTGCGGGGATCGTGCGTGTCGAAGCGCTCTCGCTGTGGCGCCGTGCGAATTTGTCTTGAGCGCGGCGAACCCTCTGCGGAGATCGTGCGTGTCGAAGCGCTCTCGCTGTGGCGCCGTGCGAATTTGTCTTGGCCTTGGCGAACCCTCTGCGGAGATCCTGCGCGTCGAAGCGCTCTCGCTGTGGCGCCGTGCGAATTTGTCTTGGTCGCGGCGAGCCCTCTGCGGAGATCGTGCGCGTCCAAGCGCTCTCGCTGTGGCCCCGTGCGAATCTGTCTTGACCTGGGCGCACCCTCTGCGGGGATCGTGCGTGTCGAAGTGCTCTCGCTGTGGTCCCGTGCGAATTGTCTTGACCTTGGCGCACCCTCTGCGGGGATCCTGCGTGTCGGATCGCTCTCGCTGTGGTCCCGTGCGAATCTGTCTTGACCTTGGCGCACCCTCTGCGGGGATCGCGCGTGTCGGATTGCCCTCGCCGTGGTTCCGTGCGAAGCTGTCGTGAGCCCGATGAACCCTCTGCGGGGATCGCGCGTGTCGGATCGCTCTCGCTGTGGTCCCGGGCGAATCTGCCTTGACCTTGGCAGACCCTCTGCGGGGATCGTGCGTGTCGAAACCGCTCGCTGTGGCGCCGTGCGAATTCTCTTGCTGTCGCTACTCGCAAATAGCGTTTGAAAGTTGTCTCATGGTTTGCGCGCCTACTTTCGCAATCGCGGCGTCGCAGGTTCGATCCCCCCTGGTCCGCGCCAGCTCCGGCGCGAAAATCGTAAGTTTGAAGTACAAAAGTAGTGCGCGGAGAGCGTCTCCCCAGCTCCGCCGGAAAAAGAAGAAAGAACTCAGAATCGAGAAGAGAAGGTAGAAAAGGAAAAGTCGGCTTGCATTTTTTTGCATAGTGAAGTAACGCCTGAAAAAATACTTGCGCTTTACGATGCCGAAGAAACGCCCGAGAAGTTAGCTTGCGCTTTAGGATAGTGAAGTAACACTCGAAGATTTGGCTTGTGTTTTGGGACAGTGCATGTGGCTTGTGAAGTGAGATTGGGCAGTTGGCAGTTGTCATTGGCTTGTGAAGTGAGATTGGGCAGTTGGCTTTAGTACTTGGCTTGTAAAATAAACATGCGCAGTTGGATTTTGGAGTGATAGGCAGCTGACAAGAGCAATAGTAGCCGAAGCTTGGATGTCACGAGTGTCTCAGTAGCGGAGCTTGCCCAGAGAATGTTTGCGGCGACAGTTGATTAGGGCGACACGGCTTCTTTGTGTTGGTGTTATGCTTCATTTTTTGGAGGGGTGCTCCATGAGGTTGCTGTCGCTTGTCATTGCTGCTTGCACGTGCATTCATGCTCAAGGCAGTCCTCCGTGTTAGTACTGTAGAAGGTGTCATCGCTCAGATCGCATCTTCCGAAGTGCGGATTCGTTTCCTTGGCGCACCAATCTTGTCAAAGCAGTTACACACAGCGGGTGGCCAGAAGATATCAGAGTCGCGCGGCGCTGGCGGGTATTTCCGACGTGTCGTGTTGCCATGTCGCATTCTGGTCGCCAGCGACGTGCGCAGGCTGGACGTTGGCATGCGAGAGCGCACGATTGTTTCGCATACCCCTCTTGGTTTCTTGGAATTACCACTTTTGGCTTGCGCTGTTGGTTTCCACCGTGTGTCTTTCAGCGCGCGCAGCAGGCTGCGAATCCCTTGGATGCTCTTCCTGATGCTGAGCATTTACGGGCTGAAGCAGCAGTACATGGTCAAGACTGGCTCCATGCTGAGCTGGATGGCTCGATGAAGCTGGACAAGCTTCGTGCCTTCGCAGCTGGCCTCGGCGTGCAGCAGAGGGATCCCGCATCTGGTAGTCGGCTTTCCAAGAGCCAGCTGCTTGAAGCCGTGGTTGCAGCTCTACGTTCGCGACCTGACACAGAGGCATGGTTTCGCAGTTACAAGTAGACCCCACAAGTTTAGTTTTATTGCTTAGCTCTTTTTGGCACCCTCAATGCTCAACTCGGTCACGACAAGCCTTTAGATACCGGAGCGTGTCTTTCAGCGCGCGTAGCGGACAGAGGAGGGCTTGCTCGAAAGATTGCTTTGGTCAACAGTGTTTCCCTGAATGTAAGAAGCTGGTCGCCTTGCTCTTTGTGCGTGTGTAAGAACTATGTTGTAAGAGCGCAGGCAACTTCGTCTTCCACAGCTGCTGCGAGTTCTGGGGATGGCCTTCCTGACGCAGAGCGTCTGCGAGCCGAAGCAGCTCTACGGGGGTCTGACTGGCTCCGGGCCGAGCTGGACGGCTCCATGGCGGCGGAGAGGCTTCGCTCCTTTGGAGCCGGCCTTGGCGTGCAGAAGAGGGACCCCGCTTCTGGCCAGCAGCGCACCAAGGGCCAGCTGCTTGATGCCTTGGTCAACTTTTTGTGTCCTCCTTCCAGCGCAGAGGCATGGTTTTCCAAAGCACTTGTTTCTTGTCAACAGTGTTCGCACGAACAGAGGATTGCTCGAAAGAATGTTTTTGTCAACAGTGTTTCCCTGAATGTAAGAAGCTGGTCGCCTTGCTCTTTGTGCGTGTGTAAGAACTATGTTGTAAGAGCGCAGGCAACTTCGTCTTCCACAGCTGCTGCGAGTTCTGGGGATGGCCTTCCTGACGCAGAGCATTTACGGGCTGAAGCAGTTGCGCGTGGCGAGGAATGGCTGCGGTCCGAGCTGGAAAGCTCAATGCCGCGGGGCCAGCTTCGCTCCTTTGCAGCTGGCTTGGATGTTCCCCAGAGGGATCCCACCACTGGACAGCAGCGCGCCAAGGGTCAGCTGCTTGATGCTTTGGTGGCAGCTTTGTGCCCTTCCGCCATCGCAGAGGCATGGTGTCGCTTTTGAAAATATACCGCCGAATTGTGGGGATGTTTGAACTGTGTGTAGATGGCTTGTTTATTTCCATGGTGTTGCATACCTTCCCGACCTGACGCAGAGGCCTGGTTTCGCAGCTACAAGTAGACCCCACAAGTTTGGTTTTATTGCTTAGCTCTTTTGGCACCCTCAATGCGCAACTTGCTCACGACAAGCCTTGAGATACCGGAGCGTGTCTTTCAGCGCGCGTAGCGGACAGAGGGCTTGCTCGAAAGAATGTTTTTGTCAACAGTGTTTCCCTGAATGTAAGAGGCTGGTCGCCTTACTCTTTTGTGCGTGTTCAAGAACTATGTGATAAGAGCGCAGGCCACTTCGTCTTCGACAGCTGTAGCGAGTTCTGGGCATGGTCTTCCCGATGCACAGCACTTGCGAGCCGAAGCAGAAGCACGAGGTTCTGACTGGCTCCGGGCCGAGCTGGATGGCTCCATGACGGCGGCAAGGCTTCGCTCCTTTGGAGCCGGCCTAGGCGTTTCGCAGAGGGACCCCACGTCTGGCCAGCAGCGCACCAAGGGCCAGCTGCTTGCTGTCTTGGTCGAATCTCTGTGTCCTCCTTCCAGCGCAGAGGCATGGTTTTCCAAAGCACTTGTTTCTTGTCAACAGTGTTCGCGCGAACAGAGGAAAAGCGCTTGTTTTTGTTGACGGTTGCTTACCTTTTCTCCCGGGGAT